CAGATCGTCAAATAGAACTGCCCGGTAAACCGTAGGCAGAGAGGGAGAAGAGGACAACAAACGAGGGGATATCGTCAAATAGAACTGCCCGGTAAACCGTAGGCAGAGAGGGAGAAGAGGACAACAAACGAGGGGCTGTGACAAACTGTTTCGTCGGAGTTTCACCGACTCATCAGGATATATATATACAGGGACTTTCTGTGGTCCTTGACCAGCTGGGTGGCCCGGTCAAACAAGGTGTGACCGGGGCGGCCCGGTTTATAGCACAGATGTGCAGATTCGTGGACCTGACTGTGCACCTGACTGTGCACCTGACTGTGGTATTAGTTGCATTTGAATACGTCATGCATGTCGTTTGCACGTGCAGACTCACGGACCAAAACGTTTGCATGTGCAGATTCAAGGGCCAAGTTTTCTTTTTTTTTTTTTTGGGGGGGGGGTGTGGGTAGGGGTAGGGTTAGGGGTACGCGGGAAGGGGTGGGGAGAAAGGAGGGAGAGGGTTGTTTAAACCACCACTACCTCCGAGCCTGTTTTTGCCGACCCTGAATTTCACTGTGCACCGAGTTTTGCCGAGCCCGGGTCCCATTGTATTCTCTTTTCTGGTACTCGTCGGGAAAAAAAAAACAAAGAAAAGGAAAAAAGCAAAGAAGTATACACTACTATACAGAACGTTGGGTACACGGAGAGTTTGCCAAAGGGCGTTACTGCCCTCAGCAAAACACGGCAATAGGGGAAAAAAAAAGAAAAAAAAAGGAAAGAAAGGAACAACTCTTTGGACGTGAAAGCAGCTGGATGCAGAACATTGGGCACAGGTGAGAATATGCCCTCCCAACGGGCGTTACAGCCCTCAGAACACACGGCTGTCCGAAGAAGGAAAAAAAGCAAGAACATCAACAACTCTTTGGACGTAAAAGCAGCTGGATACAGAATCTTGAGTACGTGTCCCGTTCGTTGCAAGTGTCAGTTGTCCGTGGAATGCGCCCTGCCTCGTCAGCAGGGCATTAAAACTAGCTTAGAATAATAATAAAAAAGAAAACACAGAAAACAAAAAATGAAACTATCTATGATTCTGGGCAGATGCATTCCTGGAGGCACCGCTGTGAGCACACTACTTTCTTGGCTTTCCCCGACGTCCTTCCTTTCAACTCTGCAGTTTCTTTTTTTTTTTCTTTTTTTTTTCTCTGATCGGGCCCACAAGGCCCAAATGTATTGTTTTGCCAACCCTCGCCCGGATCCCGAACTTTCGGTTGAGGTCATTTTCCGGAATGGGACTACAGCTTGGAAAGGTAGCGGTGGCTTAAGGCAAATGTGCAAAAACGGTGCGTGATATTGGTTTATTTTGAATGTGGGGTCGATGCTGCGTCATGCATGTGTGGCATCTGTTGTATTGGTGGGAAGTCGTTCAAGTGCCTGATAGTGCTGACACATATTCAGCTGAAAGTAGCATGGAACATATGCTGCGGTCTGTGAACGACTGACTAGTTAAGCCCTCCTACCTCCTCCTCCTCCTCATCCTCCTCCTCCTCAGTCGCGCCTTCCCACTTCATGAACCCTGAGCATTACCTGCTCCTTGTCCATCTGCTTAAGCCACCAGTGCGTCCGACTCTTGAATTGCGGAAGCAAAATTTGCAGTTTGCCGAGCCGGCACGCCCACAGCGACGGGGAGAATACCGGCCTCTGTCTTCTCAACCCGTGGTCCAAAAGACAGGTCGAGGGCTTCCATTATTGCACTTTCGTTATTTTTTGTTTTCTCTTTTTTTTTTAATAAATAAAAACAGGGCCTTACGGCCCTGGCTCTGTATCCATTCTGGGGAGCGTCAGTCCGGTTCCTATTCCACCGGCAAGTCAGAAAAATAGAACAGGATCATGCACACACGCTTCCTTTCGTACGGCCGAAGGACCGCTGATCAGCATTGATATCTCCATTCACATGGATGATTGACCGTCAGCTTGCCTTCCTCCTAGAAATCCTCTCAAGCTATGGTGTGCCACAGCTGTCCCGGGTCAGCTTTTGATAGAACAAGCCTTCTAAAAGGGGCGGGCAACCAGATCCGGTGTCGTCTTCGCTCTTGTTGAATGCATTGCTAATGTATTTTTCTCTCCTGCCTCCTTTGGTACCTCCAAGTATCCTGTATGTTCGGACGCAGACACCTGTTGCGTGGTCTTCCTGGTTGCCCCTAAGTGCTGATAGGGATTGGCTCCTCCTGTGCCTGGGTGGCTGGCGGAGGTGACGACGCGTTCGAGTTATGCCAGTATTTCCATCTTAGGTTGAGCCCATCGAGTCCAGCAACTTTGCCTTCTACCAAGCAAACCCGATCGAACGTCGCGAGGATCTTCTGATCTGTTTCTGGGCAATCTTGCACCCAGAGTTTGGTCTTCTTCCAGCGGCATAGGATCTGATTTGATCGTCCCTTTGGTGGCGGCCCAAATCTTCTCCCTTGAGTTCTTGGTACCTTCCACGTTTCTGCCGGATCCAGAGTGTGACCTTGCGGATCATCAAACCCCAAACCAGACCTCTTCAGACTTGATGAAGTTATAGGGTCAGCTAGTCCAAAGGCGCAATTGGATAGGCTGTTCTGGGAGGGGAGAGGAGGACAGGCTGTCCTGTAGGCCTGTTGCTCTTGCGTCTTGCCCAGTATTCTGTGGCTTCTTTGCAATTACTTAGACAACGTAAGATCTTGTCTTCCTGTTCTTGGTCTGAGCATACAGAGCTGTTCGGATCGTTTTTCTTCCTTCTAACGCGCAGCCACTGATTCACCGGTAAGGCGACATATATGTTATTATGACTCTTATGAGCCATTGCATGCTTCTGCTTTTAACTGCTCTTATCGTTTTGTTTGTTTTCCACGGAATCTTTGAGATCTGGTCTGATTCAGCGCCAATTCACTTGTTCCATCTTCCCTTGATTGCAGGTCCCGGGTCTTTTGTCCTTAGACATGTCTCATATCCCAGTCGTTACCATGTATTCGAAGTTTGGAGTTGGTGGTTTGCCGGTTCTGCTCTTCTCTGGAAGCCATGCCCATCCCATTCTAGAGGGTCATATTCTAGAGGGTCTTGGACTGTTGCTCCGATTTGAAACAGTCATTTTGGCCACATTCCCAGCACTCTCACTTTGCGGAGCGTGAACACGTTCGGAGCCACTCTTTTTCGGCGTTGATGTTTCCCGGATCAACAGGTCATCTGGTTTGGCCAGTTGAATAGGAGGAGGGGAAGACTGCCAGTGGACCTGATGTTGACTCTCGGTGGGAAAATTGGTAGGCCTTTTCGGGGGTCGAGTCCTTGGGGGATTAAGGCTCCCCATTGTCCCGGTTTCCACGTGAAGTCCTCTTTGAGCAATTCTTTCCAACTGTCCAGGATGCTATGTATCATCTTTTGCAGGTTTTCGAGCCTGTGCTGGCAGCCCTTTAACAGGCTTTTCGGATCTTTTCCCTGCATCCAATTCTTTTTTCCTTCATCCCAAATGTCCTCACTCTCCAGATTCCGTGTTTGATGCGAGAGAGCCATCTATTACCTCTGTAGGAGAGTGTCCACGGGGGACTGCCTTCGTCCCTGATCCACGTGTTTCCGAAGAGGGTTTGCCTGAGCACCTCCTCTTTGGATCTGGATTTTTGCATCTTCTTGGGGGGGTGTATGGTCTTGATTTGGGGTAGGGCAGGGTATTTCTCTCCAAATTTGAAGTAGGGT